TACGCGCCGCGCCCAGCGTGAGTTTTAAGCCACCGGGTCCAGGACGTGAACCGCGGTCGACTACGTGGGAGTCCAGCGACATAGCCATTACACTAACTGCTGGTTCCCTAGACAGCCTATTTCTTAATATCTGTGTTTCTTAATTTCTAAACAGAGGCTTTCTCTAGTTATCTTTTCATTATTGATTTCTGTGTTATTGATTTCTAGCTAAATTGCATTGTGAACATATGTATGATTTAGATCTTGGACATTTACTGAGACGTTTATGGCCCTGTGATATGGATGATTTTTGTACGTGTTCTGTGTATGTTTGAAAAGAATGTATATGCTGCAATTGTTAGGTCTAGTACTCTATTTATGACTACTGGATTAATTTTGTATTGTTTAATTGAATGTATACCTGCTCATTTTTTTAAATTCCACTTACTCTCTTGTTTACCAAGAGAAATGTATTAAAATCTGCCACTATGATTGTAGAATTATTTCTCCTTGTCGATCTGTCTAATTATTGCCTTCTGTATTTTCAGGATATGTTTACTGGGTACACATTTTAAATGGTTATTATGCACTTCTGTTGAATTGAATCCTTTTTCAGGAAGTGACTATTTTTTATTTTATTTTTTTAGAGAGATTTTTGCTGTAGGGCATGTACTCACGAGAGAGAGAGAGACAGAGACAGAGACAGAGAGACAGCAAGACATCACCCTCCCTAGGGGACATGGCCACACCGCAATCCGCATGCACATGCATTTGGCATGAATTTTAAGCTGCCAGTCGGGACTCAAACTGCGATTGACTACTTGAGAGTCTAGTTACCGTTATGCCACCTGCTAGTCCCAAAATGACCCTTAATTAATAGCAATCTGTTAATATAGCTAGACCAGCTCATTTTCAAAGCTTGGTGTCTTTTTTTTTTTTACAATTTAAAATCTTTTTGTATTTTTTGTATGTTATGTATATACTTATAGTTTATTTTAAATCTAACAAAACAGTCTTCTTTTAACAAGAGCGTTTAGTACAATGACACTTAATGTGATTCTATTTCTTTTTCTTTCTTCTTTTTTTTTAAATTGACAGAGGGCACTTGCACTTGCCAGAGAAAGACAGAGGAGAGAGAGGACCTTCCCCTCCAGTAGGGTATGGTTGTAACTGCAATCCTCCTTCCTCCATTTCTTCATCGTGTCAGGATTTGGGGCATGCATGCAAGTGTGCTTGGCATGTTTTCCAGGCTGCTGGGCCTGAGACTCAAACCACAGTTGGCCATGTGGGATCTGGCTCCTAGTGCACAGTGCATACCCACTACGCTGCAGGTTAGCTTTGTTTTGTTTTTCTTTTATGTTGTTTTAGGTTTTTGCCATAGGTCACATGCATGTGCTGGAGAGAGAGATGAAGAGAGGAGAAATGAGAAATCATCCCTTGGGGCATGGCCACACTGCAGTCTCTCTCCTCTTCCATTCTTCTCTCAGGATTTTGGGCACACACGCACATGTGCATGGTGTGATTTTCAAGCTCCAGGTCCAGGATTTGAACTGCGGTCAGCCATGTGGGAATTTAGCACCTTAACCACCATGCCACCTAGCTGGCCTGGCTTTTGTCTTTGTAAGGATTTTTTTTTTTTTTTTTTTTTAATTCTTGATTGAGAGAGAAGGGGTATCCCCTACAGGCAGAGTTTTGTACTGCAGTCCTCCCTCAAGCCTTCCGGTCAGCCAGGATCATGGAGGTGCCTGCAGCCCACCTGGCTTATTTAGCTAAGCCCGAATCCGAATCCCAGGCCCTCCTTGGTGGCTTACTGTGCATTGGCACACTACGGCTCATGTTTCTGAGGCCTGGCCTTTTTCTTGCTTTTTGAATTGTTTCATATCCTACTTTTTCCCCTTGCTGTTAATTTAGAAGTTATACAGTTGGATGTTTGGTGGTTACCTAAAAACCTAAAGTTAATTTCTTTATCTTTAGAACTCTTTAACTGCTTTTCCCACCCCACTTCCATTCTTACAGAACTGAGAGAAGATGGATTCCAGCCTCAGACTTACCTAGTGCAGGGAGTGAAAGCACTGCATACTGCTTTAAAATTATGGATGAAAAAAGAAGTAAGTTGTTTCCTTTGGTATAATCACTGCTTTTTATGTGGCAAATGCTGGAAAACAGTCTTTCACTGTTTTGGCAGCACTTGTGAGTGTCAGGAGTAGGTCAGGAGTAGAGGCTTGGGAATCGGGTTTTAAATACAGCCTGCATTTGATTATCCAGCATGTACGTGGGCAGGTGTCTGTTTTTATTTAAGAGAATAAAGTACTTAGGCATTTCTTTAACCTTTAATTTTGAAAAGGGAGTAATGCAAGTATATTTAGGATATTGACCAAGAAATGAACATATAACGTAATAATAACATTGAGTTCTTACCAGTGTGCAAAGTACATGCTCAGTCTTTATATAGGGGATCTCATCCAATCCTTAAGGGAACTGTCAGAGGTCTGAGTGTTGGTACCCCCATGCTACATGTGGGAACACTAAGGTTCAGTTTTTAAAAAAAATTATTTAATTTTATTTATCATCATTATTATTATTTTCATTTGCTACAGGGTATACATGCTCACCAGAGAGAGAGCGAGAAGAGCAAGTGAGAAATCAAGCCACCAGGTCTGGGACTTGAACTGCAGTCAGCTTTGTGGGAGTCTAGCACCTTAATCACCACGCCACCTGTTGGGCTGAGGTTTAGTTTTTTAAGTGACTAGTGGAGCTAGGACTTAAAGCTAGGTCTCTGTGATTGCAAAGCCTAAGCTGTTTACCTCAAAGGTAGACTTAGGTAAAAATAAAGGAAAGGAGAGGTCAAGGTTCAAGCATGAACTTTTACATTTTCTCTAAAATGTAGTCCAGTTTGCATTTGAATCTCATCAAAAGATCATTTCAGCTCTCCAGTTGGAACATGCATTTCCTTTCCCTGTGCTCCTTAGCATATTTCTTATTCCAGCAGATTTGGAACTAATATATAAAGTGATGTATCCATGTATCCTTCACTAGGTTTATGTGCTTTAAGAATAGGGACTGCCTTTCAACCCCATGGAACTCTGCACACATACTTTGATAAATGATAAATAGGTGAGCTGATGAAAATACATGCCCGTTATTAACTGCTTGAGTGTCCACCTGAAATAAAAATCCTAAGACCACCCGATTGTGTAACGGTTACGTCGCTGGACTCCCACACAGTCCACTGCGGTTCAAGTCCCATACCCAGTGGCTTAAACCTCATGTCATGCATGTGTGCATGCATGCCCAAGATCTCAAGGGGAGACTGGAGGAGAAGGGATTGTGGTGTGGCAATCCCCCTGGGGGAGCGATTTCTTGCTTTCTGTTTCTCTCTCTGGTGAGCACACATGCCCCATAGCAAAAATCTCTCTTAAAATAAAATAAAAATGCTGCTCTTGGGACCAGCAGATGGCATAATGGCTATTTTGCTGGACTCCCATGTAGCCGACCACAGTTTGAGTTTGAGTCCTGGACCTGGTGACTTAAACTCATGCTGGGAGCGTGTGCATGCATGCCCAAGATCCTGAGAGAAGAAAGGGGGAGAAGGTATTGCGGCGCAGCCATCCCCTAGGGGCTGATTTCCTGCTTTCTGTCTCTCTGTGTCTTTCTGGCGAGTGTATGTGCCCTATTGCAAAAACCTCCAAAAGTTAAAAAAAAATCTGCTCTTATGAGATATCAAGAAACAGTTTACCATCTCAATAACTTTATGCTTCCCTTTGTGTTGTTACCATAGCTATGTATCCTCTCAAGCAAGATACTGAGGAAGCCTGAAAATAAAAATCATGTCTTCCACTGTGCAAGGCATTATCTGGATGATAGGGAAAGGCAAAACAAACGAAAAACTGAATTACAAGATGAACACAAAGTAATGCATATGTTGCAAAAATAAATACTTTAGACAGGTCTGGAGAATCTAAATTTAATAGACCTGGGGTAGAAGCTGAACCTTCATTTTCAGAAACTGCATAGACAGGGGCCAACATTTGGCATAGTGATTAAGGTGCTGGATTCCCACATGGTTGACCATGGTTCTAATCCCAGACCCAGTAGCTTGAAAATTATGCCAGGCGCATGTGCATGTGTGCCCAAAGTCCAAAGAGAAGAATGAAGGAAAGGGATTGCAGCGTGGCTATTCCCCCTCTGGGGGGTGATTTCTCACTTTCCCCTCTCTCTGTCTCTCTTTAGTGAGCACATAGGCCTTATAGCAAAAACCTAAAAATAAACAAACAAACAAGAAAACTGCATAGGTGATTTTGATACATAGTGCAATTAGTTTTCAATGATATTTCTTTTACATTTGAAATTCATTTATATAAGCGTGGTGTTTACGTTTAACTTGTATTTTCTCTAAGATGAGTCAGCCTAAAGGTTAAGAACATGGATTTCGAGTCAGATTTTTAGATTAAAATCTCAGCTTTGGTACTAATAAGTGAGTTCTTTGACTTTGGGCACATTAGCTAAGCTCATTCGTTCTTTCTGTTTCTCTCTCTGGTGAGCACACATGCCCCATAGCAAAAATCTCTCTTAAAATAAAATAAAAATGCTGCTCTTGGGACCAGCAGATGGCATAATGGCTATTTTGCTGGACTCCCATGTAGCCGACCACAGTTTGAGTTTGAGTCCTGGACCTGGTGACTTAAACTCATGCTGGGAGCGTGTGCATGCATGCCCAAGATCCTGAGAGAAGAAAGGGGGAGAAGGTATTGCGGCGCAGCCATCCCCTGGGGGCTGATTTCCTGCTTTCTGTCTCTCTGTGTCTTTCTGGCGAGTGTATGTGCCCTATTGCAAAAACCTCCAAAAGTTAAAAAAAAATCTGCTCTTATGAGATATCAAGAAACAGTTTACCATCTCAATAACTTTATGCTTCCCTTTGTGTTGTTACCATAGCTATGTATCCTCTCAAGCAAGATACTGAGGAAGCCTGAAAATAAAAATCATGTCTTCCACTGTGCAAGGCATTATCTGGATGATAGGGAAAGGCAAAACAAACGAAAAACTGAATTACAAGATGAACACAAAGTAATGCATATGTTGCAAAAATAAATACTTTAGACAGGTCTGGAGAATCTAAATTTAATAGACCTGGGGTAGAAGCTGAACCTTCATTTTCAGAAACTGCATAGACAGGGGCCAACATTTGGCATAGTGATTAAGGTGCTGGATTCCCACATGTTTGACCATGTTTCTAATCCCAGACCCAGTAGCTTGAAAATTATGCCAGGCGCATGTGCATGTGTGCCCAAAGTCCAAAGAGAAGAATGAAGGAAAGGGATTGCAGCGTGGCTATTCCCCCTCTGGGGGGTGATTTCTCACTTTCCCCTCTCTCTGTCTCTCTTTAGTGAGCACATAGGCCTTATAGCAAAAACCTAAAAATAAACAAACAAACAAGAAAACTGCATAGGTGATTTTGATACATAGTGCAATTAGTTTTCAATGATATTTCTTTTACATTTGAAATTCATTTATATAAGCGTGGTGTTTACGTTTAACTTGTATTTTCTCTAAGATGAGTCAGCCTAAAGGTTAAGAACATGGATTTCGAGTCAGATTTTTAGATTAAAATCTCAGCTTTGGTACTAATAAGTGAGTTCTTTGACTTTGGGCACATTAGCTAAGCTCATTCGTTCCCTCAACTGTAAAATGGGATTAATGGTAGTATCTATGGCATAGTGTTGAATGGATTTAATGAGTGAACACTTATAAAGTATTTAACACTATTGGAGCACAGAGTTAGCACTTAATATAATTCTTTTTATTCACTTGTTTTAACAAATTATGGAAAACCAAGCTAGAGAGTATGAAGCAAGAATAGAAACTAGAATGATGAGATGAATGTATCTGAAAAACCAAAAGGTTAACTCACAATTAATTTTTCTTTTCTATCAATGGGATATTTCCCTCTCTCTGTCTCTGTCTCTCTTAGGTGAGCACACACACCCTATGGCAAAACCTGAAAAAAAATCTTGTTTATTATGAATTGAATGTTAGGCTTAATTAGTTACTTTACTGATCAGTATAGCAAGAATTATGTAAGACTTTGATGTGTCTAGTACAAGGTTGCTTACTACTCAGTGAAAAGCAAAATTCACTGTGGGAGAAGTCCATTTTAAATTCAGTTTCAGAGGATGTTGGATAGTAATAGGGATCTCTTGGCAAAGTATTTTATGGATTACACAAACTTCTGAGACCTGGTTTTACTAGTATTTGACTGTGTCTATAAAATCTGAAGAACCCTAAGGTTGGTTTATCAAATTAATTTTTATACATTACAGTTATATAACTTTGGTTTTCTTATTTTAACCCAACAACAGCTCGTATCTGAACATGCCTTTGAAATTCCAGACAATGTTAGACCTGGACATCTGATTAAAGAACTTTCTAAAGTGATGCGAGCAATAGAGGTAAGGGTAGAAACTATGGTTTAAACGCTTGGTTGCCATCGACTCTGAGAAGCGGACGAAGCTACCACTTGGTAGCACCACAATCATTCAAAGTTCCTGTGCACTTAGAAACAGTAGAATGAGCTGAATCTTGGAATGAGCTGAGTCTCAGATGGATTCTTGGTTTTGCAGGCTTCTGAAGTCCTAGAGAGAAATTTAGATTATTGTATTGTAGTGAAGTAATAAGAAAGCAGTTACTAGATTATTTCGGGCTACTCCAAAAATTAAAAATACAGAGTAAATAATACAACTTTCAGATCCAATTAATCTCAGCTCCCCAAAGATGAATGCTCATTAAGTAATTAGAGCAAGAGGCAAACCGTTGAGAGAGCAAGTTGAGCTGGGTGGGGCTAGGTTATAAGGATGTGATGGGGTGGGATAAGCAGATCTACTGGGACCAGCAGATGGAGTAATAGTTACATTGCTGGACTCCCACAGAGTGAACTGCAGTTCCAGTTTTGGACCTGGGAGACTTCAAACTCATTCTGGGTGTGTTTGCACGCCCAAAATCTCGAGAGGAGACTGGAGAGGAAGGGATTGTGGCATGGCCATCCCCCACAGGGAGTGATTTCTTGTTTTCTGTCTCTCTGTCTCCGGCCAGCAAATGGATCCGATAGCAATAATCTCTCTTAATAATAATAATAATAATAATAAAAAGATCTACTTGATGGGAAACATTGGAGCAAATTGGTTTGAGAAATGCTGTTTGATGAATACCCATAACGTCTGTGATTAGATATTTTGGATTATTAATTAAGAGCTATTTCAATATATTAGTTAAGAGCTTAATTAATTTATTAATTTGGAGAGGTATTTAAGATAGGGGGTTTTAATTAAATTACTTCTTTAGGGAAGTGGTTCTTTTAAGTGTCTGACTTGAACTGAGAGGAAATTAAGTGGAGGAATGGAGTCCAACTGGTGAATTAACAGCTTTCAGTAGGGGAATGGAAAGAGATATATATCTAAGAAATAGTAAAATGCTGGGTTTTAATGTCCATGGATTGACGAGTCATATAGCTTTTAATATCTTTAGATAAAAGAGGAAAACATTTTCTGATTTTAAGAGTGATGGCAATTTCATGTAGATTAATTCAGTATCAAAAGTCATGTGTCTGATTGTAAATATAAGGGGGAGACTTCAAAAAGTTTGTGGAAAATGGCATTAAAGTACAAGTTTAAATTATGAGGGGCAAAACATTTTGAGATTCATGCAGTTTTTTCATAATACACATTTTCTGTGAACCTTTGAAAACCCCATTATATATAAATGTATACATCTGTAAACGTTCTGTATGATAACAACCAAAACTAAGAATAGGCTCAATAAGCTCTTTCCCATTCTGGACCACATTGAGTCCGCTTCTTAGTCTCTGAGACCTGAAAGTTGACAACTTCTTTGCATTCAGGAGGCTGCTCCTGGCCACTCTGCAGCTGTCACCATGCCACAAAACGAATATATTGAATTACATTGTAAACGCTATGGATATTGTTTGGGTTACCATGAGAAAAAGTGAAAGAAGGGAAGTTGGGAGGCTCATGAACGTTCAAAGAAGGCAAAAAAGATGATAGATCTGAAGGCTAAGCTGTATCATGAACAGCACCATGCTGATAAAATACAAATGAAAAAGACCATCAAGATGCATGAAAAGAGGAACACCAAATAAAAGAATGATGAAAAGACTCCACAAGGAGCAGTACCTGCCTATCTGTTGGACAGAGAAGGACAGTCCGGAGCTAAAGTACTTTCCAATATGATTAAACAAAAATGGAAAGAGAAAGTGGGAAAATGGGAAGTCCCTCTACCCAAAGTTCGAGCCCAGGGAGAAACAGAAGTATTGAAAGTTATTCGAACAGGAAAGAGGAAGAAGGAGGCATAGAAGAGGATGGTTACACAAGTCTGCTTTGTTGGAGATGGCTTTACTAGAAAACCACCTAAATATGAAAGATTCATTAGGCTAATGGGCTTACATTTCAAGAAGGCCCATGTAACACATCCTGAACTGAAAGCCACATTTTGCCTGCCAATACTCGGTGTAAAGAAGAATCCCTCATCCCCATTATATACAACTTTGAGTTTTGTCACCAAAGTACTGTCATTGAGGTAAATGTGAGCGAGTTGGGCCTTGTGACACAAGGAGGCAAGATTATTTGGAGGAAATATGTCCAAGTTACTAACCATCCTGAAAACAATGGATGCATAAATGCTGCCTTTCTGGTTTAATAGCAGTTGCATACAAATAACCCCTTGTAATTTTTGAAGATGATACACCAATCTGGAAAACCATCATGACTGGTGTTTCTGAATATAGCTGATTTTACATGTCTACAGTCATCAAAAGATTATTTGTTAAATTGTACAAAAACATTGAAGTGGTCTGGTTTTACAAATAAAAGAAAAAGGATAGACTCAATAAGAAAGGTATGAGTCTACCTGGAAAAATAAACAAGCAAGCAAAACTAAAAAGAGAAGAAAAGCAGTGATTGAATAATTGGAGGTGTCATTCTGAATATAGCTGGAAGAATAATTGCATTGGCCCAGCAAGTAGCCAGTCCAAGATGGATTAAGAGAATGAAAGACTCCATATTTGTTATTTATATGAAATTCAGATTTAACTGAATATCTTGTACTTTTTTTGTCCATTCTACCCAGGAAGGCTTCCTCCAGAGAAAAATATAAAATTGCTAGATTATTTGAATGTTCGTGTTCTTCTAGGATTTTGAGAATCAATTGGTGGTGAATATGTAGAAAAGAAACCAGATGAGAAGTCAGGTAGTTATAACTCAGGGGGGAAATTCAAATAATGTAAAGGAAAGGAAATGCAATGTACCTTATGTGGTACTGCGTCATCAATAATTTTTACTGAGTCCAATTTAAATACTGAATATTGAAGGAAAGAGAAGCATGCCATGTTTAAGAGCTATATCTGGGGATTTAGACTTCATCTTATATGGTAGGAATTCAGTAATTTCTGAAACTGAAGACAGTATAAACACATTATTTAGAAATGTGGAGGCAAATAACTGAGCGAAAGAATCAGTTATAAGGGTTGCCAGTGCTGGCTGTATATGCACAAGAGCGGAAAGCAGAGACTTGGAACAGATACATATGTGTGCATCGTGTTTATAAGTGGCGTTGTCCACAATAGCCAAAGGGTGACCAGCAACCCACGTATTCATTGGGGTAAACGAAATGGATAAGCCAGATGTAACACATACACAAAGGGAGGATTATTCAGTCTTATAAAAGAAATTCTGACACGTGGTACAGAGCTGAACCTTTGAAGATACTTTGTAGAGTGAAATAAGCCAGCCGCCAAAGGACGCAGAGTAAGCAGAATGGTGGTTCCTAGGAGGGAGCGGAGAGTGGAGGATGGGAAGTTAGTGTTTAATGGGTGTAGGGTTTCAGTTTGGGCAGATGAGAAAGTTCTGGAAGTACTTGGTGCTGGTGTTTGTACAAAAGTGTGAATGTAGTTAACACTGCTGAATTGTGTGCTTGAAATGATTAAAATAGCAAATTCTATGTATCTTTTATAACAGTGAAAAATAAAGAAAATGTAAGCGATTGCCCCGGGAGAATGGGAATTGGGTAGAGAAGAGTAGATTGCTACTTTTCTGACAGCTAATAGAGGGTTGACTTTTTAAAACTATGTGAGGTGTGGTTTACGTTTAGAAAATAATTACTGATTTATGTAACCATGCACACAAACAGAGTGTTCCTCATAGGGCAGAGCTGGAACAGCCTAGGCAGCTCCCAGCAAGTACCTGTGCCCAGGCCGTGGGGTACTACACAGCCTTGAATGTCCACCTGAAGACCCAGGAGACACGCTCGCAGAAGCAGAACGTTTTGTGGGAGAGGGAAGGGAGTAAAGGTCTCAGCACAGCTGTTTGAGGCTTACAGTTGGGTCCTTTGTGTTTATATTATTAAACTGAATGCTTTTTGTTTTCTAAAATATTTGTAGGGCTGATTATTTAGTCAGATGGGCATGTCTTAGTCTTATTGTAAAAATACTCTCAATTTAATTCCTACAGGAGGAAAACGGCAAACCAGTTAAATCTCAGGGAAATCCTACTGTGTGTCCAGTTTCACGATCCTCAAGTGAAGCAACTTCCCCCTACCATTCCCGACGAAAGATGAGGAAGCTTCGAGATCATAATGTCCGAACTCCTTCTAACCTAGATATCCTAGAGCTTCACACAAGGGAGGTCCTCAAAAGACTGGAGATGTGTCCATGGGAAGAGGCAAGTACTATGTTTCACAGTAACAGAAGGGAGCTTGGTTGTAAAGGCGCAGGGAAAAGAGAACAGACTGCTCGTTTTCGTCTTCTCCCCTTTACTGTAGAACCGCAGGGCTCAGCCTGTCATTGTACCCGGGACAGGAATTGGGCCTTAATCTTTGTAGGCAGCAGCGTGGAACTAGGATGAATAGACTCACTCATTTGCTGACATGTTCAGCGTTTCCCAGGTACCATGTGCTCTTCTAGGCTCTAGAGAAGACCGCAGTGAGGCAATACCTACGTCCTGCCCTCAGGAATCTTCTATCCTGGTTCAGGTTGGAAGGATGGGGAGACAGAGACAGAAGTAAATAATGCAATTTCAGATAATAAATGTTACGGAGCAACCTAAAACAAGAGAACAATAGAATGAGAGGAGGGGGAGGCTGCTGCTTTAGCTGGGGTGGTCTGGGAGCCTCTCAGGTGGTGCCAATGGACTGACTCGAATAGCAGGAAGAAGTCAGTGATGGATTCACAGAGATTGGAGGACCAGCATTACAGGAGGCGGGAGGAGCAAATGTGTGGAGCTGCCTTTGAGCCAGCAGTAGGGGGCTGGATGGCTGTTAGACCACATCTGAGAGGGGCCGCTTTCCTGGACAGAGGACATTCTACTTCACAGAATGTGTTTGTCCGGAACGGCCCTCCAGGAAGGCACACATACTCACACTTCAGGCCTGGGGACTCTGGAGTGCCCTGCACCGCCCTCCCTGCCTGTTGTGCCACCTGCTGCTGTGGGATACAGCGCCTAGGAGGTGTCGTGGTACACCACATCCCATCAGCCAGGGGTGGGCTAAGCTAGCTCTGTCTTTCTACTTTAAGGACATCTTGAGCTCTAAACTGAATGGAAAATTCAACAAACATCTTCAGCCATCTTCCACGGTACCCGAGTGGAGAGCGAAAGATAATGATCTACGATTGCTGCTGACAAATGGAAGAATAATTAAGTATGTAGAGCCGTTCAGAATGTCACACGGGTTGCTTTTCAGTGGGGTTCTGTTGTTCATTCAACCCCTAGTCCGTATTCTTGCACAGCTGACTAAAATATGGGGAACATTTTAGGGGGATGATTGTTTGGCTGCGTCGTCTCGCACTGTCTTCTGACTTGGTTATTTTTTCCCCCACAATACAGAGATGAGAGACAGCCCTTCGCAGATCAGAGTCTTTATACAGCAGATAGTGAAAACGAAGAGGACAAGAGAAGGACAAGAAAGGCAAAAATGAAGATAGAAGAGAGTTCAGGAGTAGAGGGGGTAGAAAATGAAGAATCTCAAAAACCACTTAATAGTACGTTTGTTTTTAACAATCATTTTAAAGTTCTGTTCATTACTAATGTGATAATACACAGAGTAGCTTGCTAACTTCAGAGCTGAAGTTTATTGTAGGACTGACATGTTTGTGTTTTTTATACTGTTTTGAAAAATCTGAAGTTGTCTGAGTAGTTGATCCAGCAGGGGAAATGCCAAATATGAATGGCAAGAGAGAGGCTTGGCAAGGGAAGGTACTGATTGGGGGATCAAGGACATCCTCCTTTAGTCACCGTTTTTAAGAATCACATGAAAGCTCATATGAGAGAGAGAGAGATTTAGGCAGTCTTCCTGCCTCAGCCTCCCCAGCAGGTGGGCCCACAGGTATGCACCACTGTACCCAGCACCTTCAGACGGTCTCGCCATGCTATTCACTTTGGCCACAGAAAGCTCATACATTTTTATGGGCTTCTGGTCCCCAAAATAAGTTTCAAGTTTAATGCAATCTCATATATAATTTTAGCAGACATGTATGTGGTTTTCAGAATTTGAAGACATCTTAACTGACTGGTCTGAAACTGATAGGAATCCATGTAGTGTGTTTTCTTTTTGAATAATTATTTATTTAATTTTAGTTATGATTATTATTATTTAAAATTTTACCAGAAAGAGAAAGTGAGAAAGCAAGCCGCCAAATCCAGTACTCAAACCCTGGTTGGCCATGTCAGAATCCAGTACCTTAATCGCCTCACCACCTACCAGCCCCCATGTATTGTGGTTTTGTTTGCTTGCCTGTTGACAAGAAGGCAACCAATTGATAACTAGGTTAATAACATCATTGGTATGACAAAACTGTAACACCTTTTGCTCCTTTGAATCTTTTTTCTTTGAGTGAAATCTAAATTTTTAAGCTTTTTTTTTTTTCAGAATCTCCGTATACCCTTCTATTTTAAAAAGTAGATAAAATAAATATTTTGGTATTTGACAAGTCAGTGTTCCAGATAGCTAATGTTATTTAATCCACATCAGTTAGCTCAATTTCACCATTCACAGATTTGGTAATGCTGTGGTTAGCGACTCTACCTTGGTTCACATGCCAGGAGAAAGGAGAAAGTCCCATTGATGGGACTTCACTGACAGTTGCGATATGATTGTACCTTCTGAGAGAAGCCCAGTTTAGGAGCCTGTTGAATTCACTGTCTACATGAGCGCTATTTAGACTAGGAAAGTTTTCTTTTTGTATTTTTGGGTTTTTATTTTATTTTATTTTTTATAGAACTAATACAAAAAGAGAAATGAAAAGCATCTTGTAGCTAATTTTAGTTTGATATATTTTTCCTAGGAAGAAGAAAATAGTCCATCCAAATAAAGCATACTAAGACATCCAAATAAGGAATGTTCAATAAATACCACACTTATATTTAAGACTATACTTCAGTCTATCTTGGTCAGTTAGAAAGAAATGGAGAAAAAAAGCAGCAAAAAAGGAAGGAGGGCTGGAAAGTGGTGCAGTGGTAAAACTCAGCCCTCTGCAAGGCTCCCCAGATGGGGATGTTTCCTGTTGAGGTTAGGAGATCTGAGTATAGCCGTGTGCACCTGTGATCCAGGGCTGACTGAGGCTGGAAACTGATCATGGCATGAAGACCGTCTTGGGTGTGCTCTTTTCCTCTCTCCTGCTCATGAAGGAAAGAAATAAACTCTTTAAAAAGGATAGAGCAAGAGAGATTAAGAGAGATACACTAGGGCCAGCAGGTGACGTGGAGGTTAAGGCAACTGGATCCCACATGCAGCTGTGTGGTTTGAATCCTGAACCCAGTGGCTTGAAAATCAAGCTGAGTGAGTGTCCATGAGTACTCAAATCCTGAGAGGAATAGGGATTGTGGTTTGGCCAACCCCTCTAGGGGGTCATTTCTCACTTTTTCTGTCTCTTTCTGATGAGTACATGTGTCCTATAGCAAAACCAACAATAAATAAAAAGGCGACGACATGCGTTAAAAAGCTGGGTAGACTAGGTTAAAGATAACCTTATTCAAAATTCTAATGACTTTCTCTTTTTCTCTCATACCGTCCCTTCTTTTTCAGGGTTTTTTACAAGTATGAAATCAGAACTCAGGAATAGAGCGTCAGAATACTCTGATATTTCTGATTCAGAAGACTCTGGACCCGATTGCACTGCACTGGTACGCCCGAAACCCTGTGACTTGTACGGGACTTGATGGCAAAATGAGCACAATGTGTCTTCACCTGGGAGGAAGGCGAATGGCAGCCTTTCCCAAAGCTGTCTCTCCGACCTCTTGGCACAGGTCTTCCTACAGGGTCGTGGTGGTCCCATACTCCAGCATGTCACTGTTCTAAACACAGCTTTCATCTAGTTGTGGAAGGAGTAGAGGGAGAGACTCCTCTGCTTTTGTTTCTCAAATTTCTCATAGATTATATTCCCTTTTGCCTTAAAGAAAGCCTGTACTATGTTTTGTTTGTTTGTTTGATTTTTAGTTAGGGTAGCATTTTACTAAAGTTACTGAAGATTTTCATATGAAATAATTTGATGATAATTAAGAATCTGACTTTCCTTAGATGTCAGAAAGTTGGGTTGTCAGAAAAGGCACGAGGTATTTTTTTTCTATGCAAAAATGTATCATGACTTTTCTGACAGCCCAGTATGAAGTATTTTTGATTAGTTTATATAGACTTGGTCAATTTCTTATGTAACTTTGTTTCCATTTAATTATTTGTGATCTCAGAAAAATAATTTTACCACTGAAGAGTCTGAAAGTTCAGGTGATGAAAAGAAACAAGAAATAACATCAAACTTTAAGGAAGAATCTAGTGTGATGAGGAACTTCCTTCAAAAGAGCCAGAAGCCATCTAGAAATGAAATTCCAATTAAAAGGTAGGTTCTAATAGTAGTAGTCTTACTACATTTTTATATACTTGCTATAAAAACTTATTTTAAGTTTTAATATTTTTTCCAAATTTTATCATTAAAAAATAGACCTTTTTTTGATTGTCTGCTCTTTAGGGAATGTCCTACCTCGACGAGCACAGAGGAAGAAGCTATTCAGGGCATGCTATCCATGGCAGGGTTGCACTATCCCACATGTTTACAAAGGCAAATACAAAGCACAGAATATAATGGTGAAAGGAACTCTCTCCAGGATCCCAGAAGTTTCCACAGCAGTGACCATGAAGTTAGACAGTTGTATCGCTATGATAAACCAGTAGAATGTGGTAAGAAACATAAATTACCTGTCTCTAAAAAGTAGCATATGGCCCCAATTTAATAGCTCTACCATCCTAATTTAGATTAGCTATTAGGAGTACTAATTGCTTATTGCACATCTTTAGTTGGAAATAGTGTTGAGAACGTTGACTGAAATACATAACGCTGACAAGGCGAGTGAGATGGAAGCTTGGGGACTGCAGATGTGAATGACCGGTCCTGAGTGATGTGCGCACCGGCCTGCGTGCTGTTGCCACTGCAAGGTCATCGGTGTTATTTCCCTTTCACCAGCAGTTAGGTTGATAGGAGTGGGAAGAATGTTTTGGTGTCTCGAATGGTCTGCTAGACTTGAACAATCAACCCTTTTTCTTTTAATGAGAAGGAGAACAAGTTTTGAACTGTTTCTTTCCGATTGAGGATATTCTTTCTCCCATTTGAAAAGGAAGTACTAGGAAAAGAGAGTCGGTGGCACTTGGTGTTTTCTTCTCTGAACCTCTAGGGGACAGCTTTGATTTTCAGTCTGAAGGGGGTTGAGAAAAAAAACAGCACTACCTTAAAATCAAATACCTTTATAACAGTTGTGTTCAGTCCCACATCCTTGTCCACTGTGTCCCAGTCCTTGAGACCACACTTACGGTGTAGGTGGTACCACTCCCACTTCACAGGTAAAGAAGGATAAGACTTAGTGAAATTCATTGAACTGGCCCACACGTACATAGCTATTGTTCATTGGTATTGGCATTTGAACCCAAGACCTTCTGATCCCAAAGTCTTTGCTTACTGTAGAAGAGGGAACCTGAGATTTGGAGTGGTTAATGACTTCCGTAAAATCGAATTGGTAATGGAAGGACTGAAATTCAAATCCATGTTCAACTCTCTTTCCATTGCACCATTTTGTTTTCCTGTGATCTCATTGGTCCCTTAAAAGCAAAGCATTTTGGGAAACAAGTGGCCATAGAATTTGACTCTCGATCTTTTAGCATCTGGTACAAAACCTGTCATCCAAAGACAGTGTTTGAGGGCGAATTAACTTGTTAGGGTATGAGCTGGTGACAGTTTGGCTTTTGTTTTTGAGAGGGAAAGAAGTGTAGTGAGGGTGAAGGTATGGGGATAACTATCTGAGGAGTTCATGTATTTTTAATGTCAACATAAATTTGCTTTCCATTTTAAGCATTAGGTTAATTTTGTTCTTTAAGATCACGCTTGTGCAAAGATAATTTAATTAAAACTTCTCTTTAGGATACCATGTCAAGACTGAAGATCAAGACTTAAGGACTTCTTCCTGGATTAAACAGTTTGATACAACTTCCAGAGTTAATCTTCAGGTATATTCAAAGTGCGAAACATTCAAAGGAGATTTACAGTGGCCATTAACTTTGTTTTTGCTTGCTTTTTTAAAACAACTGTAACTGGTTATCAACTACTAGATCTAGGAAGCCAAAAAATTACAGCACCTTTGAATAACTGTCCATTTTTAGGGATTCTGATAGGATGACATTTAATGCATGGCTTATAGATAGAATGTGAGCTGGAAAAGAATAATTTGTTCAAGGAAGAAGTATTGGGTCATCAGAAAAGTCATGACACATTTTTGCATTAGAAAACATAGAAAAATATGTCTTATCTTTTCCGATGACCTAATAGTTAAAAACCACAGGTTGCTGGCACTCATATCTGAAATGTGAGAGGAAAAGAAGAATACCATGGAGATTGCTTTTTAATCTCTGAGATTGTTTCTTGAACATCTCTAGGTAGACTTTGATTAAAGTCACAGATTCTCTTTCTGGAAAAACGTTCATCACAATTCTGACTGATTCGAGTATTGTTTTCTCAGGGTTTGTACCTGCCACTTCTCCCCTCAACAATGACTGTCTGTGGACTTCAGATTAAGAATCTCTGCTCTAAGAGGAGAAAGTAGAAACCAGGGTTCAACATATTTATTCCTACACCAAACAAAATGCACCCATGATAGCATTCTTCAAAAACCAAAACTTTATCAGCAGCACCAAACAAGAGACATGAACAGTCTTTGGCTGCAAGCCTTGAGAAAGAATTGAAACTCTCCTAGCAGAGAAGGGTCCCTAAACTTGTCAGCAGCAAGCATATTTAGGAAAGAAAGAAATGGGCAAAAGCAGAAACAGTGTTGCGACTTTTCTCTAGTAAACTAGAGAAGTATTTACTGTGGGGTGGCAGAGGGGCCTGGCCTGAAGGAAAGGCAGAGGAGAGGAGTAAGAAGAAGTATTTACTGTGGAGTGGCAGAGGGGCCTGAAGGAAAGGCAGAGGAGAGGAGTAAGTAGGTAGGTTTAAGAGAAGACGAAGGGAAAAATCTTTGCGAATAAAATCCTCACAGACTTCTGAGGAACCTCAGTAGGAGAGGGAGAGGCATCTAGATTTTGTTGTCTTCCAGGCGTCTGGATTGAGTTGGAGTTACAGACTGAAACCTGTGGAGAAACAGATGTCTGTGGAAATAGACAAGGTGATCAGACTCCACCCTTAAATGTTTAACATCATTTATCTCTGAGCAGTGAAATTATGGGTGTTTTTTGTTTTCTTTATTTGGCTTATTTATATCTTTTAAATATTCAACAGTTACTTTTATAATAACAAAAAGAGCCACCTTTTTTTCCCTCTCTTTTTAAGAGTTTTTTTGCCTTAGGTGTGCTTGCTGGAGAGAAAGACAGCGACAGTGAGAGGGAAAGTGAGAAATCACCCCCCAGGGGGGATGGCCACACCACAATCCCTTCTCCATTCTCTTCCCAGGATCTTGGACATGCAAGCACATGTACCTGGCATGATTTTTAAGCCACCATGTCCAGAACTTGATCCATGGTCAGCCATGTGGAAGTCCAGAGATGTAATCACCACGCCATCTGCTGGCCCGGCCCTAAGTTACATATTTTTCTTTCATTAGAGATTTATCACCCCCTCACCCAGAAGGAGGATGGCCATGCCGCAATCTCTTATCCATTCTCCTCTCAGGATTTTGGGCACACACACACATATGCCTGGTGTGAGTTTTAAGCCTCTGGATCTGGGACTGAACCACAGTCGACCACGTGAGAGTCCAGAGACACAACCATTACGCCATCTGCTGACCCTGCCACTTATTTCTTCTTTTTTTTTAAAAGAATTTTTTTTTATGGGGCGTGTGTGCTCGCCAGACAGACAGAGACAGAGAGACAGAAAGCGAGAAATCACCCCCCGGGGGGATGGCCACGCTGCAATCCCATCTCCTCCATTCTCCTCTCAGGATCTTGGACACACATACATACACGCCCGGCGTGAGTTTTAAGCCACCAGGTCTGGGATGCGAACTGCGGTCGATTACATGGGAGTCCAGCGACATAGCCGTTATGCTAACTGCTGGTCCCTTCTTTTTTTTTTTTTTGGTAGAGGATTTTGCTGTAGGGAGCATGCCCTTGCCAGAGAGAAAGAGAGAGGAGCAGTGAGAAATCACCCCCCAGGGGAAATGGCCACACCACAATCCCTCTTCCTCCATTCTCTTCGGGGGTACATGTGACTAGCACCTGGTGTGAGTTTCAAGCCAATGTAACCATTCCGCCATCTGCTGGTCCCACCAGAATTTTTTTTTTTTTTTTGAGAGGTTTTTGCTATAGGGCACATGTGGTCGCCAGACAGAAAGAGACAGAGAGACAGAAAGCGAGAAATCTCCCCCCAGGGGGGATGGCCACACCGCAATCCCTTCTCCTCCATTCTCCTCTCGGGATCTTGGGCACGCACACACACGTGCCCGGTGTGAGTTTAAGCCATCGGGTCCGGGACTCGAACCACGGTCGACTACGTGGGAATTCAGCAACATAGCCATTACGCTAACTGCTGGTCCCCTCACCAGATTATTTTTAAAACAAGGCTTTGTGAATACAAAGACCTTGAATAAAAGGCCATATGTGTTATAATTCACTTTTAAATAAGTGATTTAAAATCTTTTTAAGTTTTTTTTTTCCATGAAAAAGACTGAGCAAGAAAAAAGAAAGAGACAGGGACATAGAGGGACACCCCCAACAGGATCTTCGTACGTGATTCCTCCCCTACCCCCCACGTAGTCTCAGCTGGCCCAGATAATGGATGTGCACCCACACCCAGCATGCTCAGGGAGATCCCAGGATGTGAACCCAGGACCTTTCCTATGTGGATTTGGAGTTGTCACTGCTACACTGCTGTCCAGCCCTGTGGCCAGTCATCACGTTGATCGACTGTCAGCAGTGTGTGATTTATATTAAGAGGCAGTAGAGGACAGATGATTAGCAAGATCACCTCAGAGAAAACAAGTTTCTTTTGCCTATAATCTATAGAGATATTCACAGTATAATGGCATGTCAAATCATAGCAGTTCTTTTGTTCAAGAGTACTTGTAAAACTAAAGCAAATCTATATTTAATACTTTTTGGAAACATTTATCATGACAGATGTATTTTAACTTTAAATAATTATTTTATTAAATTTTATTTATTTTTATTATTATTATTTTATTTAACCAGAGTGAGAAAGTGAGAAAGCAAGCCACCAAGTCTGGGACTTGAACTGCAGTTGGCCATGTAGGAGTCTGGTGCTTCAATCAATATGCCACCTGCTGGCCCCAGACAGATCATTTATATCACACACACACAGACACACACACACACACACAATTAAAATTCATGCCATGAAACATCATACTGCAGCATATTCTTTTCACTTCTAGTCTCTTCCTTTTCTCTTTTTAGTACTGGTCATGACCCTCTCAGTTGATTTTAAGACTCAGAATATACTTGTCTCCTGGATATTTACTTAATACTCATAAGAGACTGAAAGAAGAGTTGTAGATCAAGAAAAACTGGGCTTGGGGCTCAGACCTAGGGATTCTCCAGCAAACAAAAGCAATGTAGATCAGCCTTAAAGAAGTTAGGTTCTAGGAGTCAGTGGACCGTGTGGTAGTTAAATTGCTGGATTCCCACATGGCTGATCATGGTCTGAGTCCTAGACATGGTGGCATGAAAATTATGCCAGGTGGAGAAGAAGGAATTGTGGCATGACTATTCCCCTCAAGGGGTGATTTCTTACCTTCTCTGTCTCTTTCTCTCTGGCGAGTACATGAGCCCTATGGCAAAAACTTTAAAAAAAAACAAAAACACCACTACAGAAGTTAGGTTATTGAGAAAAGATAGTTGATTACAGCTTAAGAGGGACACTGAAGAAGAGAGAGGTCCTTTTTCCCCTCTGTTTCCCTTCATAGTGCATGCTCAGAGTGGAGTGACAGGCAGAGCGCCTCTGTTTGCATAAGTTATTTTTTCTTTTTTTCTTCTTGACTTAAGTTACAATGCAGCTTTTAAGACCTGACCCCTTCAGAGCTATTGGGCTTGTAGACTTGGGTAACCATTGGGAAGGGGCGATCATCTATGGGTAATACATGTTAAAAGGAAAACCCCAAATCTAGCAGTTTATTTCTTCTTTCTCTTGACTTTACAGATAGAGAGCTTAAATACCTTGCTTAGCTTTTGCCCTAATAATTCAGCCTCTTCTCCTTCCTTCCTTCTTCAGAATGTAAGTAGAAGCCAGAAATGCATCAGAAAGGAAGGTTCATCAGAATCCAGTCAGAAGGTACAAAGTAGGAATTATGCGGACAGCAGTGGCTCAGGCCTGCAGAATGGAAAGCACATGCCGAATTCAAGCTTGATTTCTGGGGCGTGCCAGATGAACAGTGGCAGCCTGAGCCCAGAAAGGCCAGTTGGTGAAACTTCCTTTTCAGTGCCCCTTCACCCCACCAAGAGACCTGCATCAAATCCACCACCTATCAGCAACCAGGCAACAAAAGGTATTTGCACACATTTGTAGGTTACGTGTCTTTCTGACTGTGGGACTGGGAGGGCGGCAGTTTGGGTAGTTTCTGCACTCAGTTGCTTACCATCTAACACCCAGTGGTGGTCAGTGCACAGGCTACATGGGAACAAAGGATCCCTGAGCCAACCTGAGGAATAGGAGCAGGTAGATTCTAAAAGAGAATGATAAGGGATTAGCTAGGCTAAGTTGGGGAGGGGGGAAAGCAGCAGAATAGACAGCATTGAAGGCAGAGGAGAGAGCATGACCAAGGCACAGAGCAGGGAAGCAGTATCTGGGATGTGTACGTTCGTGAAGTTGCAGTCAGCGTGGCCCCTGAGCACGTGCTGTGCAAGGTGTGATGAGAGCTCACGGCGAAGGCAGAGATTCAGACAGAGAAGGCCTTGTAAGTCTGGGAAGGAGGCTGCCCATTAACCTGAGTGATGGTTTCAAACGCGGAGCTCAGGAGCCTGACTTTGTCCGCTCATTGACACCCAGCAGCTAACTTACCATAAAGCTCTCCCAACAAGTCTGTCGAGTTTGCTTTTCATTTTATTTACACCGTTGTTGCTGTTTTAGGTAAACGTCCAAAAAAAGGAATGGCAACTGCCAAACAACGTCTTGGGAAGATCCTCAAGTTGAACAGAAATGGCCATGCACGTTTCTTTGTGTGATGGAGCTGCTGGTGCAGCCACTGCTCCTTTGGAGACTAGTCTTGGGGTGCAGGAGCCTGGAGCTTCTGGCAGCCCGCTGCCCGGAGCAGTTTGTGTGTACAGTAAGGACACTGCCTGAAGAACAGAATGAACCCGATGCTGCATTTTCACTGTGCCACACCCACTCAGCAATAACCCTTTTGGACCTGGTGGGGGAGAGGAAGAAGGAGGGTAGAACCTTAAAAAGGGACCTTGAACTGGAAAGGGTCTCTTGTCAGGGCTTGAATTTCATTTTGTTGTTGGTAGTGTCTTGATTTATTTTCAGTGGTAGGGTAAAGAATTATCAATAATTTATTTAACAGATTTTTTTTTTAAAGTTAACAGCTTTTAAATTCTTTTTTAAAGCTATTTATTTGGAAGATTTCTGGAGAAATATCTCTCTAATTTAGATTTAAGAATGTGAAGGTTTTTAAATTATTTTTGATAGTGTGTATGTTACATGTGGGGAAGAGCCACAGTAACAGTAACTAGTCTGGACTCTTAAATTTGATATTCAGGTTAAAGTCTTAAACAGGGATTTGATGCATTAATTATTTTAAATTAAGATGTATATGAAAATCATTTTATTTTATATATTTCATGTGTTTTTTATAAGCTACTAGCTTCGCTTTTGCTAACATCCAAGGTGCATACTGTTATCCAGGTTGATTACCTTATGTCCCGCCTTCCCTCGCACTCCCAGCATTTTGTGACGACCCACAAGACTCTTCTCTTTGCAGGGAAACACTTTCATAGCCAGTGTGTAAGAACTCCATAAAAGATCCCTCATTTCTCATTTCGTTTGACATTGTGATTTTCTTCTCAATATAAAGAAATAGGCTTCTTGCATTTTCATTTCTGCTGATGATATCTGGGTCCCAAAGAGAACAGCTTTAATATCTTTTTCCTCCTTGTGGGAAAAGTATTATAAGTTTGGTTAAATTGTCATGATTGTAGTTTTTCCAAAAACGTTTGTAACTACAGAGGGCCTTCTTCATACCGCTGGTGTTGGAGAACAGGACCGACACCTGACTGCAGGGGTTGTGTCTTAGATGCTTTTATTCTCTATTCCTAATTTGTTGGAAAATGTGGTTGACTTAGGATATTCAAATCTGCATTATAAGCCGTAATATATTAGGATTATACTGTATTAAGTTGTATAGAAGCAAGCATGTTGGAGTAGATCTTTTGTGTGTGTGTATTTTTTTTAATTTCTTAACCTTCTGAAGAGTTATTTGAGGTAAGAATTTGGAGTAAAATGGGTGCTTTTTGTAATTTCTTCCATCTGTCCTAACTTGGCCAGTGCATATTGAAGCTAAATGTCTGGTTGAACTTGAAGGTAATCGTTTATCTCCTTCATGTACAATTTTTCCTAAATGCCAGTTTTCAGTTGTTTCTAGTAGCTTCTACAGTGCTCCTTGTCTCCCCGTGACATAAAAATAAGTGGTTTCTGGGGCTGGAGATATTTCCAGGTCTGACAGTAGATCATTTTACAAATTCATATAGATAAAATATAGGCAAATAGGATAAAATTTATTTTTATGGAGAAGAAATATGACCCTAGTATGGATTTGCCTTTTTTTTTTTTTTACTCAACAAGATAGCAGGACTTGCCCTTCTGTGTTAAGTATCACTTGAATTGCTAAGAAATCTATACCATAATCTTTCATGGTTACATTCAAATGTGTGTTTTCAGAAGAGAGGAATATTTCTTTATCTTCATTCCAATATTTCATGGGATAAATATGAATTAGCCTTTTTTGTCCAGAGTGATTGGACCAAAGTCTGAATCTTTTCTGGGTGTCAGGAAGAAGAATTTTTATGGAGATCCTCAATGCCTGTAAATGACCTATTTATACCCTGTCTACACTATGCCAAAACCAGTGGAGAGATGGAGGCAGTCAACCAGTGACGGGTCATCTTATCTGAAGATGTCAAAAATCTGGGTTTGGCTGATTCTCCCACCTCCCCACATAATATATTACTGTGATGTCTTGGTTTTCTGTAGACCCTGCTTTAGTGTTATACAGTAATCCACAAGTTTTTACTTTGCTTTAATATATAAGCAGTATAGTATCTTTCCAGTTACATCATGACCTGGGTTGTTTTTCATTTTCTTTACATTTTTCACAGCTCTACATATTTTTAATTGCCCTTTTTTTCCCATTAGCCACGAAATTCAAATAAAACTTACTTTTACGAATTAAAATTGTCACCAGTATCCACCCTGTGTCCTTAGGCCAATAAATACTAATTTTGTGTGGAATTTTTACATAATGTTACTGTGGATTCACTTTTGGCAGTTTTAGCCCATTAACTGGCTGAGTTTCAGAATCTTCAGCAAAGTAATCTAACCACTACAGCAGAATACACGTGTCTTTGTCTGAGTTGGTGAACATTCAGCCGCTGACTCTGACTCTCCTAGTCAGGCCTCAGAACGACTGCCCCAGCTGCAGCCTTTTATCTCAGAGACGGCTGAGCTGTGAAGGGGCTGCTGCCGGTGCCTGGGCTGCACGGCAGTTGCTGGGCTTTCCTTTGGTCTCATTTACAAACAGCACCATCATATACCACAGCTTAGGAAAACGGCAATGATAATGTTTAGCTAGTTGTAAGCAAATACAAATATGCGAACTCAAGAATTATGATTTAACATATGTAACTTTAATAGTAGCAGTAGATAATAGTTTTTCTGTATTGATTCAGATAAGTGACTCCTAACATGGGATCCACTGTACTGTAATTCACAACATCATGTAATATTATGCTCTCCAGTATTGACGAACCATATAAACAGTACCAAGCTGGCAATTTGTAGTAGTTCAGTATCCTAGGAACACATTGGACTTCATAAGTATCAGTTCATTTTTAAAGCCTACAAAATTGAAGATTTCAACTGAAGTCATAAACTCAGAAAACGAGTCCACCATCATCACTAGTTAAATCCGTAGCTTGAATACTGTTATATTTTTAAATAATCCTAATTATTGCCTTTCAATATACTCTACTGTATATATTCAGATAAGATCACCAGGTGTTTATCAGATATCTACTGTGCACCCAGCACTCCTTTAGCACTGTGGGGCAACATAAAATTGCAGTTGTGGGCTCTGCCCTTGAAGGTGTGTTCTCCCGGAAATGAACAGTATTATTTTCACTTCTAAGCAAACCTAGGCTTAAAAGGGCCCACTTTTGAAAACCAGCATGACTTAATCAGTTTCACTGAAATATACCACTGTTGAAGTGGAGGTAAAAAAGACCTCAGTTTTTGTTGTTGTTGTTATCTTATTTTTATAGTATTTTGCTATAGGGCACTTGTACTCACCAGAGACAGAGACAGAGACAGAGAGAAAAGAAAAGTGAGAAATTACACTCTTCAGGGCAGAGAGATGGCCACCACGCTATAGTCCCTTCTCTATTCCCTCTTGGGATTTGGGGCGTGCTCGCTCACTTGTACGCGTGTACCACACCCCACCCCACCTCCACCCCTACCCCCAGTAGCGTGTCTTTGAAGCCACTGGGTCCTGGACTCAAACTGTGCAGTTGGCCACGTAGGATCCAGCCTTAACTACCACACTGCTGGCTGGCCTACCCCAAGTTCTGTTTTAAAATTAAGAAGCATTTCAAAAGTTAGTAATTTAGTGTTGGAAATTCAGGGGTGTAGCATGGAAGGAAGCAGAAGACTTGGATTTTTGGCCAAGTTCTGTCATAATGTATGTTGGGTGACCACAAATAAATAACTTACTCATTATCAGTCTTAGTTTTCCCATTTGTCAATTTGGATTAAAATGCCTATAATGATAATCAGGTTAAGAAAAACATGGAAAAATGTTCCTTAATCTGTTAACATTCCATATTTAGAGAGAAGTTACCATCATTTAAATTGCAAGATAATTAATTAATGCACCTTTATGTACCTTGTTCAATGAAAACTGCTATTACTCAAAAATTTTCTTTTATAATTAAATAGATACCCAAGGCATGCTACCTAAAAATTCTGAAGAATCTCTAACAAGGTGCTCAATTAAAATCAGATCCCATGCTTGAAATGAGAGAAAAAGGAGAGAGAGAGAGTGGATAAAGGAGTGAAAGTGTTTATCCTCAGGTACGTTAAGATGGTTTAAAGTAATTGAAAGATATCTTTAGGTTTTTTTTTCAAAGAGGAATTAAGATGATACTGCTCTACAGATCCAGCATACTCTTTAGGAACTAGGTAAAGGTGAAATAAATCCTGGAATTAGAATGATTTAGCAAGTACCCGTGAACTAGGGAAAAGTCAGGTGTTTAGAGAGGGCTATCCACAAAGACGGATCTGGCTTGGGTAACAGTAGCTTGCTGAGTAGAGAAACCACTTACGTAGGAAGGGAGACTAAATCTTCAACAGAAGAGAGTCTGCTTTTTTCCAAAAGATAGCCTTTGAAGTGATACGACTGTAGCGATATTGAGATAGCTGTGTGACCCAGTACTACTGCTAGCAGGAACTATTACGGATGAGCTCATCTTGAGATTTCACACTGAGAGAGGAGGGCCTTCGTAATGTAAGTCTAACGGGTTTTCAGAGATTCGTTTTTTTCCTCATGAAGTATTAAGCAAATTGCTCTCTACATAAAGAGAAGCTAAAGCTCTCCAGTGGTTTCCTAATGTCCTAGATCTTCATTTAAAGCAGTCCTGGAAAGGTGGAGCATTGGCTCTGTAACCTTAGGAAACGTGTGTTGCTGGTAAATCAGGGTGACAAATGACACCCAGGTAGGCAGTGACTTGTCTGACACACGGTGCATCGGGACCCCCAATTCCGTGCTGCCCATGGCAGCCCCCGTTTGTGACTCTGCCCAGCCAGATCCTGTTTTGTGAAGCCAGGAAGGAAGATAGGGAAATGACAGAATTCAATCTACTATTATTGAACGTAATGTAATCTTAATACTATAGCCTTACTAAAAACCCTTCCCTTATTTTAATTTAAAAAAAAAATTTTTTTTAGTGAACGTCATGATGTGAGTCAAAGATGAAATACCCCTTACATAAACACATTTTTTAAATTAAGGTCAATTAAGAAGCAAATGCCTCTTTCCAAAGCAATTAGTTCATTGTGATTGACTGTGGTTTTATTCTTTGATAGTATTTCTTTTCTCTTTAGTGGAGAGGAGAAAATAATACTCATTTGAAATCCCCTTAGAGTCTGCCTCTCACCCTGGGTGCCCTTCCTAGGGTCCCAAAGCTTTTTTGTCTTAACAATAGGACAGTTTTTTGTTAACACTTTCTGAAACTGGATTCATTGATTCTTCCAACAAGTCGATCTGCTCTGCACTATCTCACTAATAAACTCTGGCTACCACGTAGCCCTTGGCCTCCAGGTTGTCTACCTATGCAAGTCCTTTGACTTTCTGAATTTACCTTTCCTTATTTCAGAAGGCAGCCGTACGTGGAGCGTAATCATCCAGGTGAGACTTGTCTCCAGCCACTTTTATGTTGGCCATTTCCTATTCAAGGTGTCAGCTATTCAAGATTTTTCCCCCAAGATTTTTCACCAAAACAATGATCATAAGTGCTGGAATATATACTATTTTGCAGGAATAAAATAACCTAGACATACTCCTGTATTTCTTCCATGGATTTCAGCTGGTAACGTATCACAGCTTTCAGTGTGATATAAAATGAGTTGATTCCTTGTGAAGAATCATTTCTTCCCTCTAAGCTTCATAAGTCACCTTTTATTTTTACAACACACACATACGACTTCCGTATTATAGTCAGGGACCTGAGGTGTAACTTCCTAAGTGAACCCCAAGGTTATTTTATCTTGCAAAAGAAACCTAAACCAAACTAAGGGCCTTACAGTATATGGTTAGACTGAATCAAAAGCGATAACCTCAGTTTTTCCAAAAACAGCTTCTGACTGCAAAAGCAAGTCATGCAGTTGTTACCTATGAAATAGCACTGATCAGGACATGCAGGCGCATCTTTGCAGACTGTATTTCCTTCGGAAAAAAGACTTTTCTACTTTTAATATAAATTAAGCCATAACAGTTTCATGCTGTGGAAAGAGGGTGAAAGGTTCATTTTAAGAGATTATATAATATGAATTTTCACATTTACTGTGAAATATCTAACTTTGCCAGTGCTTCAGCAACTTTTATTGGCGGGAGGGGGAGGGCAGTGACAGGGAGGGATGGTATTGGTTTTAGGGGTTTAACTCTGAAATTTGAAAAGGGGACAGTTGTTGGCTATGGTATCTACTAGTTTTGTAGTAATGTTTTGCTAGCCTCACCGACTTTCCTTACTGATTTTTATGCCCACGGTCCCAGGTGACCGTTCTTCTCGTTGGGGTGTCTGCAGCGTAGCGTCTCCCTGTTTGTATAGGCCGTCAACCTGTGTGCACAGGAGTGTGCTTTGAATGCAAAAGCACCCTCTGTGACCATGGAATGGGGTGTGGCTGGGAAGTGGGAAGCTGAAGCTTTAAGAGCATTTTCTTTTCAATTCGTAACAGTATTTCCCATCTTTTGCCTGCAGGCAGGGAAAGTGTACAGTATTTATTTTGTTTCTGTTTTACTTTAAATTTGTAAGTCTTTAAGTAGCTTACATTGATTATTATAGGGGAAGACAAGTGACCTGTTTAAAGTTGTATTTGGTATTTTTCCGATTTCTGTATTTTAAAATAATGAAATTAAAATTGTATTACTTCTGTTTTGATTTTTTTAGCACTCAGTGTATTTTTTGCTCATTTTGTTTGAAAGTATAAATGTTAAAAGTTGTATAAAATGTGTCTGAAAGAAAAAAATCCAAATTCTATATCCAATTCTGACTTTCTGTTCCCTTTTTTTGCTTTATTGATTCCAGAGAAATTGAGAATGTGAAACTGCGTTAAGCTTGTGCTCCTTACTGTTTCTATTTCCGAAAGCTTAAATGTGGACAGTAATGCGTCTTATTATTTTATTAGATGTACTGTGGGGAAGGGTGCTCAAAGAGAGGAAAGAACGGGAAGTGCAGTTTTCGGGTGAGGCCGAGATGCAGCAGTGGTCCTGGGTGCTTGCTGGTAAGCACGCAAGTACACTTGCCCCTGGTCTCCACAGCCCACAGGCACGGCTGACCACTTGTAGCGCACTGGGTTCTGTCCTGGCGCAGGTGCTATAGGAGTACACGGCCAAGTCCCTGGCTTCAGGGAGCTCGGGTGGGATGTAAATAGCAAGGGAGAAGGAGCTGCTGAGGTGGCCTGCTGAGGAGCAATGGTCGTGAGAGACGGTCAGGGGTGACAGGAGTGAAGATCAGCTGCGGAGGATGGGGTAAGAGAGGAGCCTTGGACCAAGGAGAAAGAAACACTGCAGTCTGCACTTAGATGAGAAATCAGAAGGAGGCTGGATGTGGGTGGAGAGGTCACTGCAGAGGAGGAACCGAGAGCAGATTCCTGGAAAACCAAGGGAGCAGAAGGACCAGAGCGTACTGTGCTTCCCTCTCTGGTATCTGCAGGAAGACGGATTCCAGAGCACACAGGGCCCGTGCACTCACCAGAGAGCGGGAGGGAGAGAGAGCACTCCCCAGTGGCACGTGGTCATGCTACAGTCTCTTCTCCATTTCTCTGTCGTGTTGGGGTTCTTGGCATGCACGGACACATACCTGGAGTGTTTTTCTAGCTACAGAGCCAGAATTCGAACCACACGGGACCCGGTTCCCTTAACTACTAAGCCGTAGGGCCAGGCTTTTTTTTTTTTTTTAAGGCAAATGTAATGTGACAAAGAGTTGCAATAACAGTGAGAAACAGTACTTGCTCTAACTCGGAGCTGCCCCACTGCCGTTTCTGGGGCCCTGGCAGCATTCTGCACCATGACCTTCTCACCGATCCCACAGGACATGCTTCTCAGCTCCACTGACTTAAGACCCCCAATTTCGGTTTTCCTACCCACCTAATCTTTGCAAGTTTTGCCTCATCCTTTTGGACCAGCCCGGCCTCAGGCTTTTCCCTGAACCTCTTCCGCATCCCACAGCAACTGGCCCAGCTCCCTTGGGAAAGGAAGCGGCGTGTGGCCACCCGAGTTCATCATGATGCTGTGGAGTCTGAGGCTGGAAACTGCTCACGTACTCCAACCCAGACCTCAGTCTGCCCCAAGCAATTTCTGTTCGATTCTGCTTTTCCCATACTCTGTTAAACTTGCAGGACTTGTATCTGTGAGCGTGGCCTTTGACCTTGTAAGAGTCTTTATTGAACCTTTTAGACTCCATAGCGAACAGGGGCTGAGAGCACAGCCTGCAGCCAGCGTCCTGTGCCTGGAGCCTGGTTCCGGCATTACTGACTGGTTCTGGGCAAGTTACAGGTATAACCTTGCTGTGTGCGCTCGCCAGAAAGACAGAGAGAAACAGACAGAAAGTGAGAAATCACCCCCCAGGGGGGATGGCCACACCGCAATCCCTTCTCCTCCATTCTCCTCTCAGGATCTTGGGCACGCACGCACACGTGCTCGGGGTGGGACTCAAACAACAGTCGACTACATGGGAGTCCAGCGACATAGCCATTATGCTAACTGCTGGTCCCACAGTTTCCTCTTTATGATAACATTTATCTACCTCTCTAGATTGTTGAGGTGATTAAATAAATGAAAACAGAGCATTCAGGACAGCACCTGACACAGAGGGGACACTTAGCCATTAGTCTCCTCTGATTCTAAGTCTGCGATGCTGTACAAGGGGTCTTCAGAAAGTTCGTGGAAAATGTGTATGATGAAAATGCATGGTTTCAAAGCTTAACTTAAACATTTTTTTGCTGTAGGGCTCATGTGCTTGCTGGAGACAGAGGTTGGGAGGTGTGGTAAGGAGTGAGAAGTCACCCCCCTGGGGGATGATCACACAGTGATCCCTTGTCCATTCTCTCCTCAGGATTTTGGGCATACATGCACATGAGCCTGGTATATTTTTCAGGCTACTGGGTCCAGGACTCGAATTATGCAGTCTGCCATGTGAGATCCAGCCACCTTAACCTCCATGCCACCTGGCTGGCCGTAGGTGTCAAAACTTTGGCACCAAAATAAACTTGTACTTTTAACTCCATTTTCCATGAACTTTTTGGAATCCCCTCATATATAATGCCATCTGTTTGACCAGTTGCCAACTAATGTACTTTGCATGCCACTGCTGTAAGTGCAGGCGGGATTAGTCTAAAGACGGGGAGACACAGAGAAGAACCCCGCTGGAGCAGCTGGAAGCCAGACTGAGCCCTGGGGATGTGCAGGTTTTTTGCCAGACTGGGAACTGGAGTCACTCACACTGGGTGTGAACACTGGATGGTTACCCCGGGGCATGGCGATAGGAGAGGAAGGTGTTGACATTTGGGACCCTCACACACTAGCTTTGGGGTTTTGTTCCTTGGGTTCAAATCATGTAACAGTTTTGTAATTAGACGATACAGGTGTACTCCACTGTGGGTATGAGTTAGTGGTTCTAAGACACACTACTAAATCCTCAGACCTTTTGCAGCCCAGGGGTCAGGGCCTCCTGCTCTTGTGTGCCACGTGGCACCAGACCAGGGGGGTTAGGGCTGCTGAACCCCAGGAGCTGTGAGAGACACCCCCTGCCTCCCTGCCTCCCAGCACTGAACTCCCCACTCTGTAGGGCTTTTCCTCCCAGCATGAGCGCTATCATCAGCACCTCCTGAAGTTCAGCAGAACCTCACCAAATACACCTTGAATGAACACATGAAAAGACTTGGTATTCTTCACATTTCCCCTCCCAGGCAGCCTCCCCACCCCCATCCCTCTTCTTT